GTGACTCAATGCAGAGAACCACACTAAAGCAAGTGTAAAGCAGGGCAATAAAGCTGAGATATGGGCAAAAGTCATGACGCTAGGCGGGATTCGAAGCGCTATCCGTTGTGCCACCAGGACAGTTCTTACCCTCTCAGCTTGCGGCTTTTGTGGTGTAGGGTGACATAAAAAAATTTCAAGACTAATTGAGAACGAATGGAAATTCCCAAGTAGCCGCCAAAGAAAACTCACACCAGCTTGTTGTTCAGCACCGTCAGTCGGTTCAGTTTTGAAGAACGAGCCAGGAGCGCTTCCATCTGGTTCAGTCTTGAAGAATGAGCCAGGAGCATCACCAAAATCAGGAGTATCAGTGGTAGCTTGTAAGGAAGACGCCTGTGAAATAGAAAAAAGCGAAATGTAGTAATTTATTGTCTATATAACGGGTAAACGACGTAAAATGTAAAGTCGCAGCACAAGGGTACGCAGAAGTCACCTGAAGAGCTGGAACTTCCGATGCTTTCATTAAGCCCTGGCGAACAAGATAATTGCAAAAGTCCAGTGCAGCATTTGTACCAGCATCCTGCAAAAAGAATATAAATAACCTGAAATGGTGTAGATCAAAATTAGGAATATATATCCAATTTTATCCAAACCCAGCGACTTTTCGAATGAAATTTGAGATCGGTTAAACATGCCACACTACCTAGACATTACGAAAAGCCCCCTAGCCAAGCTCATTTCTGTGTCTTTTCTCGAAATTTGGATATCTTTTCAACCTTTCCGCATTTGGGGCGCTACGGGAAGCTTCCCCCACTGAGTGAAGCCCCACCCGACCACCCTCAAATCCCTAGTCTCAACTAAAAGGTCAGAACGCTCTTTACCCAGGACAAAAAATGCAGGCAAGGTTTGTTCAGCAATACATCAGAAACATTATACACCTGCATGCAACTACTGACTGCCTGAGTGAACATACCCCTTCCAATTTTTTTTTCGGAAAATCATAACTTTTCACAAATTCTATCATTCAGAAACGAAAAAAAACTTCGAGACTTTTACAACAAATTTCAGGGAAATTGCAACAATATTCAATATATTTTCAACAATACAATATACATTTCGATTTCAACAATACCTTCTTGTTGAGCGAGTTACCCAATCCAACATAGCTCTGCCCAGGCACACGTAGTTCGCATTTGAACCTCTGAGTGCCTCCGCGGTTTATGGAGGTGATTGAGTACTGCGGTGCACCCATTTTTTGCTTCCCAAGCCATCCATAGAGGAAACCTTTCAGGTCCTTAAGATCCTTGACTTCCATCACCTTAAATTCATTGAAGGACTTTCTGTCAAGAAAGGAACAATAAGAAACACTCTGGGCTAGAGAAGTAACGCAATCTGTAGGTGAAGCCATCAGGCTGTGTTCACACTCTGCACCAACGTTTCGAGTGACTGAAAAGTATAGGTATAGGTATAAGTATTGATCTAGTGTTTTGAGCGTTTCCGAGCCATTGTGGACCAAAAGCTTGAAACTTTCCCAAAACGCTCAAAATACTGGCGTTCCATTTGAAACGCTAGATCGATGGTTATACGTTCCTAGATCGATACAACGCTGATGTAAAGTATGAACGCACCCTCATGTAGAAAATTCACGCGAATGCGTAGAAATTCAAATTAGTGTAGGGGTTACAAGAACGATAACAGTCAGCATAACCTTATAAGAATATATGACAAGATAATCTGCAGTTTCTAATATTGAAATGCCGTAATTGGTAACTCCACATTTCGCCAGTAACAAGCTAAGTTTGTGGATTTTTGTGGCGTGAAGAGGTTCGGCGGGCTTGGACACAAAAGGGAAGCATAAGAGCGTGCAGACACCTTGAGAGTACATAGTACTGCACGAAATTTATACAAAATTCAGATAACAAAACGTGGTAATACTGGCTACTCTGCGCCTTTCGGCTTGGGAGGGGCATCGCGCACTTATGCTAGCTTCCGTTGAATTTCATCATCGTTTAGTGGAACGTGGACTCTCGTCAAAGGAAAACGGCGCTCGTGTTATTGCATAGCTTTTTGGAAAATGACACGGCTCCACGGAAGGCATTGGCAGTGATCGACGGAACCAGCGAAATGCCCACAGCAAGCCCAACTGTGCTGGCAATCCTCGTTACAATAAATGTCACGTTCGAGCTTATTGTGAGCAAAATAGTAAGGAAAATACATGAGACAGTGTTCAGGACGTTGAACAGCCAATTGGCCAATTCGGCAAGAACTTTGACGATAAAAATTGCGCCGCCAAATGCTGCCAAAAAGGATAGTGATGACAAGGGTACAGAAACACCATTGTAGACGATGTTTAGCGAAAGTGAAAACTGACTTTTCGGAGTTAGGGCATGATTGAATGCGACTCCCTTTTAAACCACAAAGGATGTGGTCATAAAGTTAATGAGAATAAAAGAAACAGGGTTGACAGGTTGACCCCCCTCCTCCGCCAAAACGTAACCGCCGTTATTCCAGCACCATATGACTGCGCATGATTAAGATGAAGCAAAAAAAAGTGAGAACAAAGCACACAACAAGTGAAAACGTCTACAGCGCCATTTTTCCGATAGCTATCTACTGTGTGAATTTGCATACACCCGTCATCTACCGTACCCTACGCCTAAAGATATTCCCTTCTGTGATGAGGTTAGGCGTCGGCTTTGTCGAACAGTTTCAGCCTAAATTGCAATTTCTTCAGCTTCTGCACTACTGTCAGCGTTGTACAAGTATCATGTGTATCCTACAAAGTACATTTTATCCTACAATGCTCCGTGAAATTATTATTTACTGCCCAAATATATATAGAGGTCTTCAAAAAGCGTTGAGAACATTTCGTTCGTCCTCTTTGAAAAGGCTTCAAAGAACGGAATGACCAGAAAAAAAACACAGGATAACTTCTCCCTTCCAGTTCACTCTCTCCGCTCTAGATGCTCACAATGGACCGGCAGCCGTTTATGGACCACCAGTTAGTCATTAATTGGCTATCCCTTCGCATAAAATGGAGTTTGGCAAAATGCTTCCTGGACTGCCCCTATCCCTGAGATTGAGTAGGGCGTGGGAACTTGACATGGCATGGGTTATTCGTGGGATATTTCAGTTTGGGACGTTGGTCATGTTCAGTGTTGAACAGACACACGACCACAATTGTGTCATCCTTCTATTCTATAAAGCAGCAACTTTGTGTGTAGGGGCAGGGTGGGTGGAGGAGGGGGTACCAAGTGACCTCTCCGCTCTGCTTCCTTCCCTGCACGTGTCCAGCCGGACCTGCGCACGTGTAGGGTAGGGAAACAGGGAAGAGGTTGGATGAAGGGGAACGGTGAGGGGGTGCGAAGCGCACGCTTGAGTAGGAGCACGCAGCAAGAGAGGAGGATACAACCGCTAGCAAAACTGCAAGCTAATCCATAATAAAGTAACAAACTAAGATGTCGGTTTGATTGTGATAACGCCCTCAACTACAGGGGGGGGCCAAAAAAGTCATTCCGGCCGAGTCACATATGAGCGAAGTTTTCGCAGCCCAGACAGAGGAAGTGGATATGAGTACCAGGGCGGAAGATACCCAAGATCTTCCTCTATAAGCAGGAGCCGGCTGCCGCCATTCACCTTCATGTACACCAAAATATGAAGTCATCTCCAGTCGCGGCCTGAGTGGAGAACGCCTTTGGAATTCACGTGGCCTCCAAACAGCTGCGGAACTTCTTGAACCCATGATAGCTACCTTGGAGGCCCAGTACTCTGTATCTGCAGACCTCAAACATCGAGCAGCCTTGCGGCGGCAACGTCGTGATCGGTCCAGGATATCATCTTCCCCATTCACCAAGCGCGCGAGGTGTGGATGTGAGACTCGCGCCCGTAACCTGGAATGGGAAGACCGATGTTTTCTTTGTAGACCCGAACTGAAGGTGAGCGCTGGCGGTTACATCAAGTAACTCGAAGAGAGTATCCTCCCTACTATGCGCCGTCCCTAACCTTCTTTGAAACTTTTGTACTGCTACAGATTTTGCCGTGCCACCACATGAATCGAAGGAGTTTTGAAAAAAACTCCCGCTACTTTCGACATGAAAGGTTCGTTTTCGTAACTATGAGATGTATATTAAATATGTTCCACCTGACTCTGAACCATTCATTACCTGAGTTCGGGGGGAGCTACAACTAAGGTGGTCTACAGTGGCGGAGAAATCAACGATCTCGCTCAACTCCGGTACCCACTCACTTTCGCGCGGCCGAATCTCTCGATGGCGCTCCTCCAGAAGGCTGTGGCGGAGTATCATTATATTTAATGTGCTCTTTAATATGGTAGTAAAAATGTCCGATAAAAATTTAATAAAGTGTAACTTATAGCGCCTTGAAAGTCATGGAGGCAAAATGACTTTTTTTGGCCCCCCGTGTATATAAGAAACCATTTTAATACACTCCAAGCCATTGCGGGTGGTCGTGCGTGAAGGGCGTACGGTGGGGGCATGCGATAGCGGCCGCTTGAGTTAAGTAGCACGCAGCAATGCCTGCGCGCGTTGGCAAGCGTGGACGTGAGCTCGTGCGTGGCTTGCTCCATATATTACGATTCGATCAATACAGCGTAGTACGAGTAGCTAAGTGAGTAAGCAAATTCCGTTTCCATCATGAAGTGCGCCTGGCGAAGCCAAGCCAGCTAAAGAGAATGAGGAGAGCTCGGCGTTAGCCGGGTGATCCGACTGGTAGTAAAATATGTCACCAGGAGCACAACCACCACCTGGTTTAGCTGAGGTACGCAGCCACGCCCACCGCATATCAGGGATTTCGAGCGCTTAGTATCGCACCTGATCACACTTGCGCCTTTTGTTTGCAGCCGCTACCGCTGGTATTCCACTATCACTGAAGCAAGACAAGGCAAAAGTTGAGAATGCTTTTCTAGAGGACCATAGACAACAATTTGTGACGTCTCCCAAGATTGACCTCCACATAGAGCAGCACTTTTCCACGCCTTTATCACTGGGTATTCCTTTTTGTGATGAAATCGATTCAGTGACAAGACTCCAATTCTAGTAGAAAGACAATGGTTAGTCCATATAGGAGGTAAAACGGATCACCTACTTCGTTGTTCTCGGTCTTATACTTAGGAATTATTTCCCGTTTCGGTTCTGCCTCGCCCAAGTGGTCGCAGCGCATCGTGTGCTGATGAACGACTTTCAGGCGCAACTTGGCTAGGCGGGGGCATTTTGTTAGTTTCCATCAATCATCGCTGAGCCTCCTGTGGAGACCTGCAAACTCTTGTAAAGCTATGCAGAAACACGAGCTTCGTCTAAACTTGGCAAGAGTCCGCAGGTCTCTCCAAGGCAAGACGTTTATGAAACTTCACAGGAACTGGAAAAAACCCGTGAACTAGTGAAATGCTCTCACCCGGGCCGAACAGCGTTTACTAAGGGAAGACTATCGCAGGATCGGCTTTCAATTAATCTCGGCATCAGAGACGTAATAATTCAGAATGTTTCTTCAGCCTCCCGAGATTTGTACAGATATTTTATTGGACTAACGTTTCGGCGAACATCGCCTTCTTCGGAGCCTGCAAGTCGAAACCTATCATCGAAACAATTCATTCAAGCACCATTTCTAATTACAGTAAGAAACTACGGGCTAGGATATCTTAGAACTAAGTCGAAAGCCACCAACCTTTTGACGGGTAGAACTTCTACCGGGCACTCTGAGTTTCGAGACTACAAGACGGTAGCTTATATATGGTTTTAATAACTCTGAGTGACGGGTCAGAGGGCTTGAGGGAACATACAAAGGGCATGCCATCCGCTGTAATTAGGACACAACCTTAAGGAACCAATTTGAAACGCAGAGGTCGGTCCTCCGCTGAAGCGTGAAGAACCAGCCTTTGGGGCGGTTATTGTAATTGTGAAAGTTTAACATGGACCGAAACTTATAGAGACCCCCCCACAGGATTGATCATGTAGATCAATAGTCCCACTGGCTGCCAGATGATGGGGGTCCCTGCGGATCGCCGCGCATTCAACATGATTATCGAGTGATAGGGTATACTAAGTAACCCCTCCGCGCGCGCAGGAATGGCGTGAAGAAGAACTGCATATCGATCGGCCACCAGGACCGCTAGGGCTCGAGATGGAGAGTGATAGGGAGAACATGAGGGTTCACGGTTGCTCAAAGGACAAACTCCGGCTGTTATTCGCCACGTAGTTGTGATAGGGTGTGCAGCAATGCGACGGACAGGGGTAGTTTCTTTGGTTGAAAAAGGCTGGAAAAACAAATGCCCTGCTGTCCTAGATGAGAAACCCCCATTTT